GGATTCTGCTGCTATCACAAACTTGACTACAGCATGAAGTCTGAAGTTAAACCTGGCTCTGGCTGCACAGACTGATTCTTTGATAAGACTAAACATGTGACATAATACGGTCATATCCCCTGAACTATTACAGCCCTCATAAGATGAAGTCGAAACCTCATGAAGTGTTTTCCTCTAAGACTGTTGCACAGAGATGCTGTTGTTAAGTGATATGCAGATTTATGCAGTCATTTGCATAACAAATCAGTCTGAGTGTTGAGGTGATCGACACACAGAGAGGAGCCGAGTTTTAAGAAGAAAGGCAGTGACAGAGACGGAGGGATAACAGCTCACCTGCTGTTCAGGTGAGTTTCTGGTAAATGCGGTCATTTTCACGCTGCCTCAGCGGTGCTTTGTTTTCAGCGTTCATCGTGCCTGTCAGGAGAGAACAAGGAAACGAGAACTGCCTGAAGATTTACACAAACTAAATAAGAATTTGTAAACTTTCTGCTCCAAGCTCAGCCTCTTGTGATTAGTCTCACTGTGACCCGAGGCTCAGCGTCACACTGTGGCTGAAAACACAACAGAGCAGGATCTCTTAATCATTCCACATCATGGAAAACTCTGCTCACTGTTGCAATCGGTTCTTTTTACCATGCTAACTCTGAGAGACGAAGCAGTCCAAGTAGCTTCAAAACAGTGCTGATTTATTCAATGAACACAGGTAAAAATTAACATTACACGCTCAGGTATCTTGCACCCCCAACATGCACGCAGGCAGCTAAAAGATGAAAGACCCTGAACCCAACAGGCCTATACATTATATCCCTTCGGGCTAATCCCATACTAACAGGAGACGCCAAGCCGCAGCGTCTCCCAGGGACAGCTCTGTAGCTGGCCAGAGCAGTAGCCAAAACATGATGAAAAACAATGTGTGAATGTCTGTTGATTGTGGTGTGTAACTAAAAAAACATTCTAACATGACCTCCAGTGACATGTCATGGCATTAAACATAAGAAAATATTATACTATGGCTACAGTTATACACGTCATAATAATAACATTAAACATCCTGTCTGCTGACAGTCATTAACTTTATATCTAGTTATCCTTGACCATAAGCATCCTGCACAAACTCATGAAAATGACTAAACATTTAACAGCCTAAGCTACACATCCTGTCTACTCTAATACATAAAGTATCTAACCAATATCCATCTGACTAAAAATACCTAACAATCACCATCGTTTATGTTAGTGTTACTCATAGATTTCAGCACAAACTGCAAATAATGTGCAAACATAAACCACGGAGGTGTCAGTAGTTTTGCAGACATTTGGTCCTAATACAAAGTGCTGGACAGATTAACGTGGTGACCTGCTGCAGTCAGAGGATCACCCCTCACGGTTCAGCCTGGGGGAACATACAGTGCCTTGCGAAAGTATTCGGCCCCCTTGAACTTTGCGACCTTTTGCCACATTTCGGGCTTCAAACATAAAGATATAAAACTGTAATTTTTTGTGAAGAATCAACAACAAGTGGGACACAATCATGAAGTGGAACGAAATTTATTGGATATTTCAAACTTTTTTAACAAATAAAAAACTGAAAAATTGGGCGTGCAAAATTATTCAGCCCCCTTAAGTTAATACTTTGTAGCGCCACCTTTTGCTGCGATTACAGCTGTAAGTCACTTGGGGTATGTCTCTATCAGTTTTGCACATCGAGAGACTGAAATATTTGCCCATTCCTCCTTGCAAAGTCTCAGGTCTTTTGCAGACTCCATCAGGTTTCCTTCCAGAATGGTCCTGTATTTGGCTCCATCCCTCTTCCCATCAATTTTAACCATCTTCCCTGTCCCTGCTGAAGAAGAGCAGGCCCAAACCATGATGCTGCCACCACCCTGTTTGACAGTGGGGATGGTGTGTTCAGGGTGATGAGCTGTGTTGCTTTTACGCCAAACATAACGTTTTGCATTGTTGCCAAAAAGTTCGATTTTGGTTTCATCTGACCAGAGCACCTTCTTCCACATGTTTGGTGTGTCTCTCAGGTGGCTTGTGGCAAACTTTAAACGACACTTTTTATGGATATCTTTAAGAAATGGCTTTCTTCTTGCCACTCTTTCATAAAGGCCAGATTTGTGCAGTATACGACTGATTGTTGTCCTATGGACAGAGTCTCCCACCTCCGCTGTAGATCTCTGCAGTTCATCCAGAGTGATCATGGGCCTCTTGGCTGCCTCTCTGATCAGTCTTCTCCTTGTATGAGCTGAAAGTTTAGAGGGCCGGCCAGGTCTTGGTAGCTTTGCAGTGGTCTGATACTCCTTCCATTTCAATATTATCGCTTGCCCGGTGCTCCTTGGGATGTTTAAAGCTTGGGAACTCTTTTTGTATCCAAATCCGGCTTTAAACTTCTCCACAACAGTATCTCGGACCTGCCTGGTGTGTTCTTTGTTCTTCATGATGCTCTCTGCGCTTTAAACGGAGCTCTGAGACTATCACAGTGCAGGTGCATTTATACTGAGACTTGATTACACACAGGTGGATTCTGTTTATCATCATTAGTCATTTAGGTCAACATTGGATCATTCAGAGATCCTCACTGAACTTCTGGAGAGAGTTTGCTGCACTGAAAGTAAAGGGGCTGAATAATTTTGCACGCCCAATTTTTCAGTTTTTTATTTGTTAAAAAAGTTTGAAATATCCAATAAATTTCGTTCCACTTCATGATTGTGTCCCACTTGTTGTTGATTCTTCACAAAAAGTATATCTTTATGTTTGAAGCCTGAAATGTGGCAAAAGGTCGCAAAGTTCAAGGGGGCCGAATACTTTCACAAGGCACTGTAAATGTTTGAACCAGAATCCATCCAGCAGTTGTTGGGAGGTTTCACTCGGAGCCAGATATGTTTCTGGTGCTGGAGTCTGGTCTGAGCAACTGTAAGTCTGTGACATGTTTACAGGTGGATTTGTATGTAAGCCATTTTCGAAGCACACGCCACCTTTGACATACAGCATGGTGCACGTTACAGTGAGAAACAGTGGCTGAGGGAAACGACCTGGGTGTGTCCAGACACATGCTGCCGGGCTGCTTGCTGAACATCGCAAAGCATGTATGAAAAGGCTGCTCTGTCCTCAGAACATACCAGACACTGGAGAGGTGCTAGGTGAGCAGCGTTAACGCAGCAGAGGTGAGAGCAGAAACCTGTCTGCAGCTGCTGAGGCCATTCAATCTGGACTGGAGAGCTGCTCTGACTGGACTATGTTAGCATGGTAAAAAAAAACCAAGGTGAGAACTGTGCACAATGTGAGAATGAGAGGGCAAGAGTCGAGAAACATTAAAACAACAGTGGTTAAAAGTGAAAACATGATTTTCCTGCTGCCCTGTCCCCTGGTGATAAAGCTTGGCACTGCTATCCCCAGTTGGTGTCCCTGCAGTATTAACATTACATCTGAGTCCCAGAGCTTTAAGCATCCAGCCTTCCTGAGAGTAACGCTGACCATCCTAAGGCTGGTTTACACTCCTGCTGCAATGCATTTCCTCACTCCATAAACAAATATTGTTGACAAACATTAATGTGTGATTTGTATGAAAACATTACAAGTCATGTTGGTTTTGTGAAAGAGAAGCAGAGCTCTCTGGGGTCCAGTGTCTGGATGGAGCGGTGCACTGGCCCAGTGTGCGTGCAGAGTGGAGCTGCTGGGATCCGGGCCAGTTCATTCCAGTCTGGACTGCTTTGCTCTGGCACTGACACGCTGGGCTGTCCACTTGGCCGAGCATGCCGCTCCTCAGCTGTCAGCCACCCCTGTATTTAATGCTCCATGTCAGCGACAGAGATGGTCACGACTTGAACCCCGCAGAGCAGTGTGACTGTGGGGGCATCTGTGCCTGCCATTCTGGTCTGTGTAGGTGCATCAGTGGGCTGTCAGTCAGAGGGTGTGGTGATTAATACATACACTCTGGCCCAGTCACATTACTGGTGTCACTGCTGTGATACAGCAGAGCCAATCACAGTGAAGCATGACGACAACAGCTCAACATATGGAAATAATGGCCTGGTCTGGAGCTGAAGAGCAGCATAGTACATGCACATCTGCAGTTCAACCCAGTTTTATTTGTATAGCGCCAAATCACAAGTAATGTCACCCCATGACATTTTACATAGTCAGTTACTATTATGATTATACAGAAAACCCAACAAGTCGCCCTCGAGCAGGCACTTGGCCACAGCCATGTGTTTATCCACATAGTTATATTTTTAAAGGACAAAATTGTATGAGTTCCAAAAGGTCATATGATCCACTATTATACACAAAAAACTGACAAAGGGACCAGAAACTGATGCCATTTATGGATGATGCTGCAGTAGTACTCCAGTACTGGTAACAGTGTGCTTTTGCATTGTTCTATTACTTCCTGCAGTTTGTTTTTGCACGTTGCAACATAGCATCTGAGGGCGTCACCTGAATATCTCTGTCAGCTGTTTGTTTTCTGCATTTGGAGACAGTTTTACACAGGGGATCCTCCCTCTGAATGAGCAGCGGGTCATGTCATCGCCCCACAGTCCGTTCGAGTGTGCAGTCGGTCTTTACGAGCCTTGTGTGCTGACATTCACTGCTGATTCTGATTGGCTGCCTCGTATCTGTTGTCGTCAGTGTGATGATTTAGGGTGGGTGGGCTCACCACATTTCTAATCACACCAGCTCTTTGTTTTACTGCTCAGCTTTCTGCTGTTTAGCCTGATTTAGAAAGGTCAGCGGTGCCCAGCTGGTGCTTGTGTCTGTGTGAGTGCGGCGCTCTCACCCGTGGGATGCTGTAAATCCTACTCGGTTTATTAGCGACTCACCTTCTCCACCAGCCTTGAATCCAGCACACACCCACAGTTGGAGGTGGCGTGTTGCTCCAGGCAACTGGGAGCATGGAGGTGATGTCACAGGCTGAAGCCTGAACATGTCAGAACGGTGTGAAGGCCTCAGCACAGGATCCCTGACACTGATGACCTCTGTTTTCTTTGTCTCATCAGGAACCACCAAACGGGAGCTGCTGCTCTGAAACAGTGAGTGTCCTCTCTCCTCACCGACCTACGAAGTCTGATGTCATGAGCAGGTCTGCACGATATAAACCCTGCCAGGACGATGGCAGCTGGTTTTGTTTTTGTCAGGCATCCTTCTCTGGAGGAAGTCATGCTCAGATTGTTTTCTTTATTCTGTCTTGTTTTTCATTATAGTGCCACGTTTAAAACATGGGTGCTTTTCCACCAAAGGTTTCAGGAATTAATTTCACATCACTTGTACATGTGACAGTATTCTAACAATAGAACAAAGTCCCTCTAATTGTCATCCTCTCCAAAACAACGAAAGCCTGGTCGCTGGTCATAACATCTCCTGCTCCATCCAGGACGACATGTTGTGGGTTGGTAAGAATGCCAGTCAAAAACACTCAGCAATGCAAGAACCACCCTGAAAGTTCCTGTAGCTTCACAAAGCATGACCCCCTGGGCAGGGACTTGTTTCAGGGTCCCTGGGACTTGGTTTAGATCCAGGTTCCTCTGGCGGGAACATGGGATGAGCTTCAGAAGGTTCCTGTTCCTGTGGTCGACGCATGTCTCATGAGGAAGGCTCATCTCTGAGTGCTGGTGTCGCACCGTCTGGAGCCGAGTAGCCTGTAGGTCTACAGAGGACAGTGGAAAACAGAAATCCAGTTCAGAGCGATGCAAACCGAATAGCGGCCATTTCACTTGTTAATCCTCAGTTTCTGTGTTGTTGACTCAGTTTGATGGTCACTTTTAAGACTGTTTCTGCTTTGTTGTTGTAGTGTTTCTGATCACAATCTACAGAAATAAAATCATAATGGCCATGGTATCACATTACAAAGTATAGTTATGTGATGGTATAATGGTATTTTATCAGGCCATCTGATAGTGATACCAGGAGTCATGTCACAGCTGACAGGAGGCTGACATTAGAGGCCGCCTCAGAGGTATGTGGAAAGTGGCTGTAAGCTTTACTAAATAAATTACATTAACCAGGAATCTGTCACAGTCAGATATACATTGAACTGCCACGTCATCTGGTCTCGGTTCGGTTATAATATGCAGTGCTGGGCAGTAATTTCATTACTTTTTCCATTAACGTTCTTACTAGAAGTTTGATGGGGTCTGGTCTGGGATATGGCTGAGCTGTGGAGCAGGCAGATGTTGGCCTCAGGTACATTCAGGAGTCACTGCTAGCTTTGAGTCAGAGGGTACAGTGCCCTCACCGAGGCCAAAGCTAAGCTAGCTGCCAGCTGTGGCTGCTGCCTGGCAAACTGCAGCGCTCTCGTTTTCTGTATGCGGAGGTGGAGGACGGTAAAGGCACTACATACACCGACTAGCCACTTTATTAGGTACAACTGTATGCACTTCGATGTAACACTTCTGCCTTAACATCTGTGTTTATGAAGATCAAATGTTTCCGGTGGTGTTGACATAAATGTATTAAATCAATTACATGTTTATTACTGAGGTTGTAGTTAAAGGTGGTGTTGTACTGGACCAAATTATATTCGGAGGTGTCTATAATTTTGTCCTCCCCAGCTACATACACGGGAGGGTCAGAATATTAGGAACACATGCATCAATAATTAAATCCAGTGATATGATACATGTTGTGAAATGAGTCCTGTTGTAATAAGTAACAGTGAGTACTTTGGTATTTTTCTGGTAGTACTTTTGTGCTTTTACTTAAATAACAATGTGAATGTATTTCTACTTTTGTTGAGGGACCAGTTCTGAGTACCTGTGTACAGTATGTGTATATGTGGTTACACTTGGTGCTCTGTGGCTGTGTGTGTTCACTGCAGCCTGAGAAGGAGCAGTAAGGCTGAATTAGGGCGGATTAACTGTAGCCTGTATCTGTCTCCTCCCTCTACCTTTTCATTTTCTCCTCCTCCCTTCTGTCCTTCTTCTCCTGTCCTCTGCTTTTTCTGGCTTTGTCCTCTTCTCCCCTCCTCCGGTATTCATCAGCCCCTCTGCTGTCTTCCCTCGTGGCTCTTGCCCTCCACCCATCCCTTTCCTTTCTTTGCTCCTCAGCCAGTCTTTACTAGATCTCATCCCTCATTCCATCTTTAAATGCTTCCACTCCCTCCTCTCCTCTTCCCTTATATCACCTCCTCCTTTTTCCCCCTGTGAGGAGACAGCAGGGGAGCGCGAGCTGCAGCAGGGCAGAATTTACATCTTGATATATCAGTTTCCTGCAGCGGCGGATGGCGTGTGGCCGGCGCCGAGGCCCTGCCATGAGTTACCGCAGTGATTATCAGCAGAGACGGCTACTCACTGGCCACTTCATCACTGTGACTGGTGGGGAGGGTGGCGAGAACCGAGGGAGAAAAAGGAGAAGGGGCAGAAAAACAGAAGGAGAAATAAGAAAAACACAATTGGAGGAGGGTGCAGGCGAAGGCAGTCGCGACTTGGAGGAACAGGATCGTTAGTGGAGACACAGAGAGAAAACAGCAGCAAACAGGATGTGAATATGCATGAGATGAAAAGATTCTGAGGTTTGTGCCCATAATAAGGTGAAGGACTCTGCATGAGTCAACACTTTGGGCACGTTGGTCTCAATCAAATCCTCCATCCTCATACACAGAGGCAATTCAAAGTGCTTTACAGAGGCAAAGAAAACCGGAAACAGCATTAAAACCAGAGTGAAACCAATTAAGACAAAATGAAGATGAAACAGCATCAGAGCTAAAAGCAGCTTCACCCTGTTTGGTTCTGACCCGAGGTTCTACCAGCTGACTGTTTCCTAAGGATCTCAGAGCCATGCTGGCTTTGGATTGTTCTAGGAGGTCTGTGTATTTGACCCCATGATGCCAGTGAGTGATTTATAAACTAGCAGAAGCAGTTTAAAATTGATTATGTAGGTAACTGGTAGCCAGTGTAAGGAAGAACTAGAGTGATGTGCTCGGTTCTGGTTGAAACTCTGGTCGCAGCATCTGAATGAGCTGAAGTTGTCTAACAGTCTTTTTGGGAAGACCGGACAAAAGTCTGCTGGAAATGAAGGCATCACTGCACCTACTGCAGCCCTGTTGGATCAGACCGACTCAGTTTGACACAGGTGTTGCTAATAAAACCACCACTGAGTGTAGTTGCTGTGCAAATTTACAGCTTTAAGCCACTGATACCCCAAATCTGTGGCTGTCAACTAACTGCTAGCTGTGCTACAGAGATGCCAAGCTAATGGGATGCGAGACTCAAACAAGCTGGCACAGATGTGTAGCCCTGGCTCCATTAATACTGGGCAGCTGCCAGGTTTTACAGTAATAAATACAGCATGTGAGTGGGAAAACAGATTAGCATGACATAAACGTAACCTCAGGGCGACAGGGCTGGTGCTCTGCAGCTTCACCTTAGTCAGCATCTGCAGACAGAGGGGCTGTCCTCCTGTGGTGGGTGAGTTCATGTCTAGACCGGCCGCTGCCCGCCATCCAGCCCAAGGAAAATCTGACACACCCGCCTCCCTCCTGTAAAAGCAGAGGAGAAAAAGATCGAAGCTGGGCTGCATGTCCGTGTCACTCTGGGCTTACTCCAGTGGAAGGTTCCAGGTTCCTGGATGTGTCAGCACTGCGGCAGCCATAAAGCAGGAGAGAGCGCTAGTGGGACCTGCACACTGACAGAAATATGGAATGGTTTCCAGATATGAGAGTGCAGGGATTATAGCGGAGCCGTTAGTGCTGTATATGAGTGTTTTTTTGCTTTTTTGTCTGATGAGGAACATGTGTAGATAAAAAAGTGAAAGTCCTGTCAGGCTGTTTCTGCTGCCAGAGCACAGAAGCATGGAGAGGAGGAGTTCGTGTTGCATTTACAGTCATGGGAAATATTCTCTGGTGTGTGGATTGTTTTTCAAATTAAATGCAACACAGCGTTTAGTTTTTATTTCTTCACAGCCTCCTCATGTTGCTCTGAGTTGCAGCGATGGAATCAGCATAAAGGCATAGACGGTGTCAGGGATGCTGTTGCGAATCACAGGGCTTTTATTCAAATAAATCATACAGTATTTATTTGGTGACAAAGTCTGTGTTTGATCTATAAAATATCTGTTGATCTTTACTGTGTGTCACGTCATTGTAAACTGTCGTCATACTGCAGCAACCGATGAGGCAGGCTTTGCAGTGAAGTGGTTGGTCAGTTGTCAGGCCTAAAGTTAACATGAGGAGGTCAGCTGTGTAGCATCTGTTGCCATGGTGATTTACCCTGGTTAAAGGTCTGTGTGTTACAGAGAGTCACATGTGAAGACAGTGTACAGTGGATCCCCCTGTGCCAACCTGAGTCAGGCTGATCCAGCAGTGCTGCAGTCGTTCACTCGGTGTCCACACTGAGACACAGAGCTGTTGTTTCAGCTGTTTGTGCTGCTGTTTACCTGCACTTTGCATCTGAACAGATAAGATGACATGAACTCCGGTGTTCACCTGACCAATCAGCGTCAGCTCTGTTTCACTTGCCAGATACAAAACTGAACACTGTTATGTTGATATAAGAGGTAAACCTAGGATTATATCACCAACCAGACGTGTCTGATGTTGCACATGAGGAGTAAATAAATGCAGTTTTCAAGAGGCAGGTTGTGTGTATCTGTGTGTGTGCTTCCTGCACATGAGGGAGATGCGCATACATGTATTTTCTTGGCTGGTGAATAATTTACTAGTGCGCGTGGTTCAACCTTGCTGCGTCCTCTGAAGGTCCACCACACACTGAGCCTTCGGCTGTTGCCCCTCCCCCAAATCCCATGTGCTGCTCTGCCCCCCTGCTTGTGAACACATCCATGTGAACATGCAGAGGCTGACCAGCTGATACTGGGTTAAATCTGTCCTCCAGCTTGTTTAATACTTCATCAGCAGAAGGACGAGCGAGGACGGTGTCAGACCCATGAGTGTGGCCATGCAGAAGAACACCGACCATGTTTGCAAAATGTCGGGGGACTCCGCAACATGTGTCTCGCCTTTGGGAAAATGTCTTTCGTAGCTGAGACGTGAAGGTCTGTGGAGGCTTTGATTTATGTTGCACTGCTGAGCTGAGCTACAGCCACCTGTACCGCCTTTGTCAACAGAACACACCTGCACTGGATGGTTGA